ATTGTGGAAGGTATTTGCATTTGATTCTGAATGTTGCTTATGTTTTCATTCATGAAACCTGTTTTTCATCATTACTATTACCTACTTACATAACTAAGTAACTAACAGGAGCAAAAGGGGTGGTTTTTGAAAGTAATCAGATTGATAAAATAAATTGTAATAAAAGGTGAGTTGGAGACCTAGTCTAGAAGAACATGAATGACATGAAATAATAATCACCTTTTGGAAGTAATTAGAATGAAACAATTTGGCATGTAAGGTAGAGTTGAGGGTTGTTGATCTGTATCGTCTGTTTTTATTGCTATTGTGGGTGTAGAGATTGAAGAGAGGAAGAAGGAAAAGCTGGTTACTGCCACAAAGAAAGGTTCGGCTGTATTAGATCAATATATATCGGATCAGGTTAAGTCTCAGTACCATGTACTGCAACAGGTAAAAAGAATGCAAGCTTTCAACCCTATCTATGCTTCATCTTCAGTTCTTCACTAATGGAGTTTTAAATGCAAATGCAGGGTAATGAAATTTATGATGCCACGCTGAATCAAACAAATGTTGGGGAGAACAATAACAAGTTTTATATCATACAAGCACTAGGTTACATTACGTCTCAAAATTATTAATCTTTGAGGCTGAGGTTTATTAAAACTGTATAATTATTTTAACCTTGCAGAATCCGATGATGGTTCTACGTTTATGGTTTACAATAGATGGGGTAGGGTTGGTATTAAGGGTCAAGATAAGTTGCATGGTCCCTACTCCTGTGTACAGTCTGCATTAGATGAGTTTGAACAGAAGTTCCATGCCAAGACTAAGAACTGCTGGTCTGAGCGCAAAGACTTTGTTTCTCACCCGAAAGCTTACACTTGGTTGGAAATGGACTATGGAGAAGCAGGGAAACAAACTGATGTAAACAGTTGCTTCTTGCTTCTGCTTCTTTTAGAAATTAGAATGTTCATCATACTGCATTATTGGTTCTGACGTTCACATTCATGAACAGGTCCATGGAGACTTGAGCAGGAAACTGGATATTCAGCCTCGAGAAACGAAACTAGAACAACGCATTGCAAAGTTCATCTCTCTTATTTGCAATGTCAGTATGATGAAACAGCAAATGATGGAAATAGGTTGCTTCTTCTTCTTCTTCTTCTTCTAAAATCTTCCTCTTTGTATATTGCTACAGGTCTTATTCACATATTTTTTACTGCTTGGTATATGAATTATGATATGACTGATCATTGTTTTGTAGGCTACAATGCTGAAAAGTTGCCACTTGGTAAGCTAAGCAAAGCTACGATTTCAAAGGTTAGTTATATTAGTCTTTGGGGTTGGTTTCATTTATCATATTTGTTGCACTTTACTAGACTGTTTAAAATAATTGAGTATTTTATTTTATGGTTCCATCTCATGGATGGGGATAACCAAGACCTGGCATCCTTGCAAGGAAATAGACAGCATTATAAGTTATTTAACATAACTTAAGTAGAGTAGAGATAATTATGCTGCATGCCAAATCCTGTTTATTTATTGTTTGTGCAGGATTGCAACGAGAGGACATAATTTGTTATTTCTCTATTAGAAACCATTTTCTGTATATCTATGAACTCACACATGCTAGGGCACAGGCCAAACCCTTTGTTTGAATCAAGTGGAAATAATTTAATCAATACGGAAAAAGAGGTCTTAACACTGAATAGATATATTTTAACTCATATGCTGTACAGGCACAGCTTAATAAAAGATTCTTAAATTTTTATATCTGAACATGCTTGATGAAAGATTCTTAAAATTTCATTTATCATCCAATTTCTCCATGAATTGGTGATGCTGAACCTAAAAGTAAAATTCAGATATTGTAACAACTATCAAAAGGAAGGTTCTAGCACTCCATTCTGTGTTTCTCAAGAGCCAACACAACACTTTATATAGTTGACCTGCCAATTTCTACATGTAATTCTTTTTGTGTTGGATTTTTATCAACAATATATTATATATTTGGTTTTACTTTTGTCATATGTCATGTCCTGGTGATAATCTGACTATCATAATCTGAAAAAAAAAATAGGGTTATGAGGTTTTGAAGAGAGTTGCTGATGTGATTAGTCAAAACAATAGGAAAAAGCTTGAGCAGTTAAGCGGGTATGTACTTGTTCCTTGAGCTTTAAATTTCATTATAATCAGTGTAATCAACTTTTGTTTCCATCATTTTGTCAAGCATGTAGTAGATGTTTTACCTCCAGGCTCTCGGTGTATATAATGTAATAATGGTTTGACATAATAATTGCAGAGAATTTTACACCATCATTCCCCATGATTTTGGTTTTAAAAAGATGCGTAAGTGTTTAGATATTTCTGTAACATCTCACTTTGTTTGTCTCTGTGTGGTTTCCTTCACCTAGTTATTGTATTGGGTTACTAACAGCAAGTAGTGTGTATACCCCAACCCCACAGGTGAATTCGTAATTGATACCCCCCAAAAGTTAAAACGCAAGCTAGAAATGGTAATCTTCTCTTGCTTTTGCTAAATAGCTGATCTTTATATCTCTAGTTTGGTTTAATGACTTGTAGATGTTGGTTAATCAAAGGTTGAAGCCCTTGGTGAAATTGAGGTTGCAACAAAGTTGCTGGAGGACAATGTTGGGATGGAGGTAATGCTTAAAGGCAGCTTAACGTGTTGTTCTTTTCAAAAAGAAATTATTTAGGTGATTAAAATGTACAGGCTCCTTAAGTTCTTTTCAAAAAAAAATAATTATTTAAGTGTTTTCTTTAGCCCATTGTGAAAACCAAGAGTTTTACTTTTACATAACAAAAGTTATTTCTTTCTTTTGAATTTTGATAGATTGGCTTCCAGAAAGGTGAATCTTTGTTTTCATGGCTCAAGTCTACCATTATATTAATATGGATTCATTTCCACAGGAACAGGAAGACCCAATCCTTTCACGTTATCAACGCCTTGGCTGTGAACTAACACCGGTAGAAGTTGATTCCAAAGAGTTTCACATGGTGTGGTTCTTATCCCCATTGCTCTCTTACAAAATAAACTTTTAGCAAATGTTGTTATAAATAGTAACTTTCTTTGACCATTAGATCACCAAGTACATGAAGAACACTCATGCCAAGACACATTCAGATTATAGTGTTGAAATCGTTCAGATTTTTAGAGCCTCGAGGCATGGAGAAGCCGATCGTTTCAGCAAGGTAAGCTTGGCTTCTTTGATTTATCCAATTTTATTTTATAAAAATTAAAAAATAAAAATAAATGCTGCTGCATTGTCAACAGTTCTCTAATACGAAAAATAGGATGCTTTTGTGGCATGGTTCTCGGCTAACAAATTGGGCTGGAATCCTGTCTCAAGGTTAGCTCAAGTTTTCTTTCCCTCTGATCTATCAACAATAACATTTACATATTCATTTCCTTGAATCAATCAAAATGAGTAACAAAACAAAACAAAACAAAACACCAGGTTTGCGGATTGCTCCTCCAGAAGCACCTGTAACAGGGTACATGTTTGGGAAAGGTGTTTATTTTGCTGACATGTTCTCAAAGAGTGCAAACTATTGTTGTGCCTCTCACCAAGCTTCAGCTGGTGTGCTGCTTTTGTGTGAGGTTGCTTTTTATGCTCTTTTCTTTTTTAGCATATCATATCCTCCAGAAACACTTTTGCCCCCTCCTCTTTTAACTAATTTCCCCACCTTTAAAAAAAAAAAAAAAATTAGGTTGCACTTGGGGAGATGGCTGAGCTACTAACAGCTAAATATGATGCTGACAAGTTGCCACAAGGAAAGCTAAGGTACCATTTATCCATATCTGCTTCTTTCTCATCACCTCACCTCAATAGGATACAATCAAAAACAGAAAACATCCTTTTTTTTTTCTCTTCTCTTTCTATACTGTCTTAAGAAAGATATTAATTCCTCTGCATCCAAACCTAAAACAAAGCCAAACAGGGCATAAAATATCATATAAAAAGTAGAGAGCTTTACTGTGATTTCTCTTTTGTGTGTGGTGTGGTGTCAGCACGAAAGGAGTTGGGGCTACTGCCCCTGATATGTCAGAGATTGAGACACTGGAGGATGGTGTTGTTGTTCCCCTAGGACACCCCAAAAAGCAGCTGACTTCAAAGGTCAACTCAACTCCTCTTTATACTTTATATCACTATCACCTACTTTTCTTTCTTGTCTTACTTTGGTTATTATTATTATTATTATGATGATGATGATGATGACTGATGTCTTGTGAATCTATTGCAGGCTAGCTTATTATACAATGAGTATATTGCTTACAATGTCGATCAGATCAGGATGCGCTATGTTGTTCATGTCAATTTCAATTTTAAGAAATAACATTTCATGGCTTCTATTGGAAATGGAGAAATTGGTTGCCTTGTAAAGGCATGTTTTGCTAGATGTTTGAGTTTAGAGGCTTTATCAATGGTACTGTGACTTGTCTTTTGAATTAGATCCTTGTATAAACAGATTGGGAGATATCAGTCTATGTGATCAATTTATAGTTATAATAGATAACACCACTTTATAATTGTGTTATTCAGTATGTGCTCAATGAATGTATATATAAACTTTTATTTGTTTTTGTAAGTTATCACTTTGTACACCTGTTAACGTTTGAAACAAAATGTAAATTGTTTTGGTTTTTGTAAAACCATATTTTGATGGTCATGTTTTAAGGATATTTTGCACTTATTTAGTTCAAGCAGGTAACCAGTAAACCTTTAGCCATGTGGCATTTAAAGGATGATTTGACAAATGACGTTAATGAGATTATGTCCGTTTACGTGGAGAAGTGAACCCATCACTCTACCATCAATTTTTTGCACTTAAACGTACCCTGCATTCAGAAACGTTTGGATAATCGACAACATCCATATCAAATTATGGGATTTTTGAAGAAGATTAGGGCTTGATTTTGTTGTAAAAGTGTTCTAAAAGGTGCAATTTGAGGTTATCGGAGAGGTGAACATGAATGTGTGCTTTTTTAGGTTGTTGTGATGGATTTAGATTCAACAGACGAAGGCAATACATACCTATTTTTTGGTTTACGTGAGCCTTTCTTTGGTCTTAACGAGATGGATTTCGAGCTTCATGGAATATACATGGATCATGAACCAGAGCAAGAGTTCGTTACTCTACTAGACAAGTGTAAGGACGTATTTCTTAATGTTCTACCAACTGATAAAAATCTTAGAAAATCTAGTTTGGTTAATGAAGTAAGAACACAAGTGCATCATGGGAATGATTTGCAAAGTGATGAAGACGAGCAAGAGCATGTGAAAAACAAGTACAACATACGTGATCCAAAAACAAAATGGAACCAAAGCTTGGTGACATTTTTGAGACTGTTACATAGCTGAAGTTTTATATCGAAAACTATGCAATCCACAACGGGTATCGGTTGTACTTTGAAAAGTGTGATAGTAACAAGATAGTTGCAAGATGTGGGAAGAGAAATGAGAATAAGTTTGCCCTTTTAGACTGTATGCCTCATGGATGTTCAATGAAAGATCTATTCGGATCAAGAGTTTAGAAGCTAATCATGTTTGTGGTAGGAAGTTTAAACTTGGCTCTATGGTTACTCCTGACTGGATAGATAGACACTATGTAACTGAAATTGCAAATAAACCTAAGATGAAGCTGAAAGAGATGATTACTGACATCAGATAAAGACTAGAATCGGGTTCGATGTCACTAGAGGAAACAATTTCAACCTCCGAATCCCAGTTAGGGTTTCGAAGTTTGACCACGTTCTATTCTCTTTTCCTTCGCCAAACGCCTTGCTTCTTTTTCAATTTCCGGATTATATATCAAGGCACATGTACGTTGAGATCTGGGCATAGAGAAACAAATTGATTAAAAATAAATCAATCCCCGACAGCGGTGCTAAAATTTGGTGGTTGTCGAGGCCAACAAAATTAATAACCCTAAAGCTTTTACACTAAAATAGTGTATAGTGATAAAGGGGTCGAATCTGCGGAGATTGGTTTGATTTTATAACTCTATGAAAATGAATATTTTTTAAATAAATATGAGGTACCATTTTATGCTTTCTTTTCTAACACTTGTCTTAATCATTACAATGATTGTTACTAACTAAATAATTGATTGTAGGTTTTGGTTTATAATTCATAGTCAATGGCATGTGTTTGTGGTTAGAAGAGGGTGTGACAGTTACATGGTGGACTTAGATGCTATGACTTGTTCCTGTAAGCTGTGGGATTTGTCTGGGATCCCTTGTGTGCATGCAAATGCAACAACATATTATATCCATCAAATACTGTATGGACACATCAATGCATACTTCTTTAAAGATAAATTTAGGCAATGCTACTCAACAAACATAGAACCTGTTAATGGCAACAATCTATGAGCCCAGACTGAATACATTAAGCCCTTGCCTCCAATGTCTAAGAGGATGCCTTGTAGGCCTACTACTAATAAAAGGAAGCATGCCAGTGAGAAAGAGAGGAAGTTTTTAACAATTAAAGTAAAGGTTCCAATAACTACTCGATGTGAAAATTGTTTAGAATATGGTCATAACAAGAGGGCATGTAAGTGTAACGCCCCATTTCTGGTATGTAATTTAAATAAAGTATTTTCACTTCTTAAGGGGTACTCGACGAGTCTGTAGCCCGACTCATCGAGTAGAGACGGGATGATCACGCGATTTAAGTTGGCTACTCGATAAGTCCATATGTTGGGACTCGACGAGTCTACTTGTCTGGATGAAGCCCTAATTTCAAGGGTTTGCACCTTATTTAAACACATTTATGCGCCCTAAACCAGCCTCCATCACCCTTAGAGCGTCCTTTACCAAACCCTAGCTTCCCTTTAAGCTTTTTGGAGTATTTCTCATCTTGTGAAGGATTTTTGGTGCATTTTGAAGTTAGAAGAAGAAGAGAGAATAAAGGTTCTCAGAAGGAGCAAACGAGATCTGAGTTTCTTGTGTCATTCCAGCCTCCATTAAGGTATAAAGCTCGAATTTTGGCTTGTCATCATATAGATCTTCTTAAAAGCTTGCTAGTGTTGCTTCTTTTGCCATTTCTAGACATTGAGGTTGTTTTATGGGAAGTTAAGATGAATGGGTTCCCGATCTAAGCATTTCTAGACTCCTTGAGCTCAAGGTTGCCACCTTTATTGAGCTAAACACCCATTCCAAACCTAGATCTCCTCTTTTAGCTTTTTATTGGGCATTTTAACTTCTTATGTACTTGCATGAATGTAAAGTTAGAAACTTTAAGTGTGGAATCAGTCCTAGGAACCCAGATCTATGTATTGGATATACTAGAATCAAGCAAAATCGACTGTATAGTAATGACATGTCTTGGACTCGGCGAGTTGTTCTTCAGACTTGACGACTAGAGTCGCGAGTCCCCGATTTTCCCCGATTTGAGAATTTAGGGTGAATCAGTGAGTGGAGATGGGACTCAGTGAGTTAGAGTCAGATCTAGTGATGGAGGGACTCGGCGAGTCTACGCCTTGACTCGGCGAGTCTGATCAACTGAAAGTTGACTTTGACCTGAGAGTTGACTTTGACCAGGGGTAAAAAAGTCATTTTACCCTAAAGGACATTTATCAGTACCTGATCTAGTGCTTTTGGGATTTGTAACCGGACAGTTCCGGAGCAGCAGTCAGCCAGTTTTAGAGTTAGCATCTCATCAGCCAGCATTACGAGGTGAGTTTTTCCTTCCAGTAGGAACGGGTCAACGGCCACAATACCGACCCGTTTAATTAGCAGTAGTTCCGGACTTTGGTCCGATGCAGTATTTCAGTGTGCTTGATGTCTTTGTGATTCAAGTATGTCTTTGTGTTATGTGTTCCGGACTTCGGTCCGATGCAGTTCGCAATATATGTGTTTATGCTAGTAGTTATGATTATGCTATGCTATGTTTAGTCAGTTCCGAACTTCAGTCCGATGCAGCTAGTTCCGGACTTTAGTCCGATGCAGGGGACAAGGTCCCAGTCAGTTCCGAACTTCGGTCCGATGCAGTTTCCGAACTTCGGTTGGAAGACCCCAACTTTCGTATTTATGAAAGACCCAAACTTTCATACTATTTCAAAAGATTTCTTAAGTTACTTCCTCAAAACATGCTACATGCATATTTATAAAACAATATTTTATATTGATCAAGTGATTACAAAGGATTGGATAAAAACCGATTAAGTTTTATTACATTTCATGTCTACCCAGGAATCTACTATTCATATACATACATGAACATTAAAAACACAGAGAAATACTATTAACTATTCTAAATCTTTCAGCAGTATAAAACTATATTGGAATACTCATCACCTGCAATTGTTAAATATTGAGAGGAATAAGCGATAACGCTCAGTGAATTCAATAGATAGATACAATATAATCTTATGCCTTACATATACCAATATGACAGAAGCAGAAGGGAACAAGAAGACATATGTGAAATCATGTGACAAGCGTTCATATCAATCAAAGACTTTATTCAAAGATATACTTTTTAATGAGACATAACGATTTCAATACTTGATATGCATCAATAAAGCTTTGGTCCAATTGGCACAGAAGACATATAATTTATGATTAACATTTTGGTAGATTTCAGGCTTATAGCCCTGTCTAACCATTTTCCAATACCATAGAATAGAGTTCATTCTCTTACGGAGTCATGTTCTACATGGTCAGAGGCTACATACCATTCCTATCAAACCTTATGCCAATGCCATAGAATAAAAGTCATTCTCTTACGGAGACATGTTCTACATGGCCAAAGGCTACATACCAGTATTAATGTGAATCTAAGTCCTTTCACTGATCACATGATCAAAGGTATTATAATTGCTATAAACATAGCGAATAAAATAACACGGGAGAATAACTCAGAATAATAACACTGAGAAGCACATAGCACATATAACACATAACATACAATTGCTCCTATATATTGAACTCACCTTAAGTTAACCAAGGGTTAAAATAGTAATTTGGATAACATTTCGGCTTTAAATATGACTTTCTATGTTGAAAATCGGGAGCTTAATTGAAAACCGTGCTCTGCAATGGTAGGGCTTCGAAACCGAAAAGATAAAATTTTTGGACTTCTCGGGGGTCTCGGGACGTGTTTCGGGTGCTAAAATTGATACCGGGGCTTCGGGAAAAGTCAAAATAGTGAAAATATGGAAAAAAGGGTCAAAAATGGCAATTTCTCAAAATTACCCGAGAAGGCTCGCAGGCCTCTTATTTATAGGCGAGAGGCTCGGATCTAGAGCAAATCAGAAGCAAGCACGTGGCTCGCATGCGAGCCTCTAGGTGGCTCGCTTCGCAGGTCGACACGGGAAGGGCAGGTGGCGGACTCGGATTGGTCCAGCGCTTCGGTCCACTCGGAAGGTGACAGGAGCGCGAGGCACGTCAGCAGATCGGATGGGACACGATTCGGTGACGCAGCAACTTTGTGCGAAGGACGTGGCCGAATCCGGACATCTCATGCGAGATTTCTCGGATTTTGAGCCCCGGACTTCTAAAATCCATAACTTTCGCATACGAGCTCCGTTTTTGACGTTCTTTATATGCACACGTAGCTAAAATTACGCTCTACAATTTTCATTTATATTTCGTCGGCTAATTTTGAATTTATTTTTAATATTATTATTTTTAACAGATCGGGACAGGAAAATACGTTAAAAATTCATAACTTCTTCATCCGACATCCGTTTTCGTCAGACTTTTTACCGTTGTACTACAAATGATGAGACATTCGATTCTCGTTTAGGATGTATCGGTAAAATCTCGCTCGATCTAAAATTCGAGTTTTTAGTTGTCTACTGCTAAGTTGAAACTTCGAAAAATCATAACTTCCTTGTACGAAGTCAGATTTTGGCGTTCTTTTTATCGAATTTCTCGGTTTAACGAATACTATGAATTTCATTTAGATTTCTAAGGCTAAAAAGTAGTTTATCAAAAACTCACTTTTTACGTCATTCGGCGTCGTGCCGGTTTTGTTGCGGATCTTCGGTTGGTCATAACTTCTTCGTTATAACTCGGATTTTGACGAGGTTTTCGCCTACAAGTTTCTAACGAGATGATTTACAACATCAAATAATAAAATTTTACTTATTTCAAATTTTATATTTTCGCTAAATTTCACTATTTGGCTATTAATTGGAATCTCATAAGATTTCCAATACTTTATGAGTGATTCTAAACATAGTTTTACTTCATTTCTAGTAAAAAAACTAGCTGTTAGAACTCAACACTCAATTTTATTCACTTTTAATAATAACAATACACAATATCAAAACGTGTATGTTACATCGGTCCGATGCAGAGGGCAAGGCCCTGGTTAGTTCTGGACTTCGGTCCGATGCAGTTTTCGGACTT